TCCCCCCCCCCGGGACCCAGCCACATCGTGTTTAGACAATCTGGCCCTTCAGGGGTCCTTCTGCCGCAGCCAGGATAAACTCAGGATTTTGGGAAGTCCACCAGGATGCCACCGCTGGGGAATAGATGGTATTTGAATAGCGCTTGTCCGGGTTTGGCGTATGGGTTTTGTTGTTGTTTAATTAACTCTTGGTTACCTCTCTCTAAACAGACAGCTACAGACAGTTCCTCTAATTCCTCTCAGAAGAGGGAACAACCTACTCGGACAATCTCCTCTCCCACATCTTGTGAGCACCGGAGGGTCTACACCCTGGGCCACCACCTCCACGACCCATACCCCATGGACCACTACCACCTCGACCAGGTGAGCAGCGGCTCCTTCCCCTGCTGTCCAGCCCGCGCCCCGAGCCCAGGCCTCCTCGGCTCTCCTGCTTCGTATCCAACCCTGTTTGAAGATGATGGTGTCGGCGGTGCCATCTTAGCCTGACACCTTCATGACACTTTATGTGCTTTGTCCAGTTTAATCTTCACAAGTTCCCTACTTGGCATGTGGTCAGCATCCCCGGTTACAGACGAGGTGAGACGTAGGCAGATGGATGCCTGGAAGAATGAGATCCAGAGCTGACCGCCCCCCACCGGGGCACTACGTGGCCTCCTGCTCCTCCACCCAGAGGGCCTGCTGGCTTCACCCAAGAGCACAGAGCTGTGGTCAGGACGGAAGAGGGCAGCACGCTGAGTTCCAGCCCTCTGGCGTCACAGGCTGCAGGCCCCGTCTTGATCGGGGAGATGGAGCTGGAGCCTGGAATTCAATAATTCAACAAATATTTACCAAGCGGCTGCTTTGCAGAACAGGTTCCCAAGTCTCAGGGCATGGACTGGTGCCCACGTAAGGTGATGTGGCCACCAAACTGCTTGAAATGAGAAAAAAAAGAGCACAGGGCAGTGAGGTTTTTTGTTTTTATGGCTTTGGTTTTGACTTTTTATATATAACTAGGTTTATTTGACTTTCTTAAATTATTTTATTATATATGACCTAATTTTTTAAATCATGCTGTGGTCATGGTAGTGAAAAGTGGCTTTTTTCCTTTCCTTACTTTGCAAAATTTTAAAAAAGCAAAGCCCATGTCAACTTTGGAAATCCTTCAGGATTGTGGTTTTCTAAAGTCCGGGGAACTCTGATATCGAGACTCTGATGGGAAATAGGGCAAAACAGGTGAGACTGCCCTGCCCTCGCGGCTCAGTGTGTCTGAGGTCGTGCGGTCGATCCTGTAACCATGTGATACTGATGGTGATGGCGACAGGTAGCAGGTGTGTACCGTGTGCCGGGCTCTGAGCTGGCACCCTGACAGATTATTTCTCTTCATTCTCACGACGGTCCTATGCAGTTTGACAGATGGGGAAATGAAGTCCTGATGACTTGCTCATAGATGTGGTAGTTAGTGCTGGACTGCAGTGGGTCACTCCAGAGCCGTGCTCCTCACACACTAAAAACTCTCCAGGCCAACGAGCTTCAAAGACGAAATCTCGCTCTCTGCCACACTGAGATGCCCTGCGTAAGGCAGGGTTACTTGTATCTCCAATAATGATTCCATAAATACCTGCTCAGCGCCTGTTGCTCTGGACCTGGCCCTGTTGTGAGCTGCAGCAGAACTAACTGCAGAGAGACTCTTTCACCCTGAAGGAGGATGCAGTTTGCATTGGAAGGTCAGAGAGTATCTCTGGGTCTTCTGGTCTGCCAGGGCTCAGGCTCCAGCTCTGTCGTTTGCTGTCTGGGGGATCCTGACAGAATCCGAACCCTTCCTTCTCTCCCTTCCCATGTCTGTGCATCTTCTCTTCCCCGTTGGATTACGCAGGGAGTCTGTATTTCCTACTGTCCCCTGTTGGTCTATTGAACAGGACTCGCAGTAGAAAATACATTTTACATGGAGAACCAATATGCACGTATTGCTCACAGAGAGATAATGAAGTTTCATGAAACAGAACTTACCCTTGTGGTATGCAGTATGCGCTCTCGTAACATTATTCTATTTCATTAAAAAAAGAAGAGCCAATCTTACAGTTACACTGTGCAAAAACAGGCAAACCGAATCCGAGTTTCTGGAAACCATCTTAACATCACCTGGGGTAGGAGGCTGGTCTGGGGAGGCAGGTGAGCGTTGCTTCTTGATCTGGGGAGTGCTAGGCGTCTGATTCCTCATCAGACTGTGCTCTTGCGTTATGCACACTTTCTCATGTCTATTTTAAAACTTTGACAAAAGGAGAAAAAATTGTCTCAACCCATTACATTTGAGTTCCTGACCCAGTAAGGGACCAAGGTTCCCAATTTCAGGTGCGTCTTGACTGAGCGAGGTATTCAGGAAGTACAGGATGGTTCGTTTCCTTTGCGAGGGTGAAAGGTGCATTTGGAGGGTTGCGAAGGAAGGTGACTTCTTGGCCACTGCTGTAAAGTAATGTCTTCTCCCTCCAAACCCAGCAGCCCATGCCGAGGCCCTACCGCCAGGTGAGCTTCCCTGATGACGACGAGGAGATCGTTCGCATCAACCCCAGGGAGAAGATCTGGATGACAGGTTACGAGGACTACAGGCACGCGCCGGTCAGGGGCAAGTACCTGGACACGTCGGAGGATGCAGACTCCTACGTGCGCTTTGCCAAGGACGAGGTCCCCAAGCACGACTACAACTACCCGTACGTGGACTCCTCAGACTTTGGCCTTGGTGAGGACCCCAAAGGCCGCGGGGGCAGCGTGATCAAGACGCAGCCGCCCCGGGGCAAGTCCCGGCGGCGGAAGGAGGACGGCGAGCGCTCGCGGTGCGTCTACTGCAGGGACATGTTCAACCACGAGGAGAACCGGAGGGGCCACTGTCAGGACGCGCCCGACTCTGTGAGAACTTGCATCCGCCGGGTGAGCTGTATGTGGTGTGCGGACAGCATGCTCTATCACTGTATGTCGGACCCCGAGGGGGACTACACAGACCCTTGCTCGTGCGATACTAGCGACGAGAAGTTTTGCCTCCGGTGGATGGCTCTTATTGCCTTGTCTTTCTTGGCCCCCTGTATGTGCTGTTACCTGCCCCTGCGAGCCTGCTACCACTGCGGAGTGATGTGCAGGTGCTGTGGGGGGAAGCACAAAGCGGCCGCGTGACTCGGTGTCCCTCCCTTCCCGTCCTCCATCGGCAGCCACAGGGAACTCGTCTCTCACCTACGCTCTCTTCTCTGCCCCGTTCCACTCCCAGGAGCACGGAGAGCAGAGAGGCCTCCCAGCTCCCTGGTACCTGAGGCTCCATTCCAGCCTGGGGAACCAGCCTGCCCGGTGGACCCTCCACTCGCCAGCCACCCACCCCGCCTCGGCCCCCCGCCCATACTCACACGCTGGCACAGTGTTCTAAGGAAAGGGACCCTCCGCATAGACGCTGGTGTATTATTCCCACTTTGTAATCAAGCTAACTGTCTTATCCATGTGTCGATTTCCTGTCTCTCCGCCCACCTCTTCTGGTTCAAAGGAGTTTGCAGTCGGAACTGCTGATTGGGGGTGGGTTTTTGTAGTTTTCCAAGAACGTGAACAACTGTCCTTCTCTTGGCTTGCTTGCTCCTTGCTAGCAAGCATTGGGTTTCTGCAGAAGCGTGAAGGCAGCATGATGGAACCCTACCAGGAGTATTTAAGCTGCGATCAGTTATTATGTATAGGAGGTGAGCTAGTTAACAGACTTGTACCACAAAACAGTAGTGCTTTAACTTTTCTAAAGCCAAATTCCCCGTGTCAGCTGCAGTTTGTCTTTAACCCATCATCATTTCTGCCCCACCCCCACCCCAGAATCTGTTGAAATTACTCCCTGATGCAGAACATTCACCTGTAAAATGACTGAGAATTGAGCCTTAACTTCAGATTATCTTGTAGGAATCAGGAAAACTCCGTAACTGTATCTTTTCCTCTTGGGCCAGGGCTACAAAGGGGATTTCAGGGTTCCATGAGCCTCCCCAGTTATCCCTGAAGTAGAACTTTTTAAAATGTGTTGCCACCACTTCTAAAAATTTAGCAATATCACAATCAGACAATAACGAAGTAAGAAATGTTACTCATTGTTTTGCAACCAAATAGTCTACTCAGACACAAACTGGTGTTCAACAAGTTCCAGTTGAGAAACAGTAAGTTGTGGTGAATAAAACTATAGGAGGTTCCCTCCCCACACACACACACACACGCACACTGTTTTATATTATCTGGGGGAGAATCTTAAATGTCACAAATTTGAAGAGTGGTGGGTTGCATCTTGTTATGTTTTCATTTTCATTTTGGACTCGGTTTCACATCACCAAATTCTCCGTTTCTACTTGGGAACAAACAGGCCATATGTAAAAACCCTTCTGATGCCTAAGTGTCTTTCTCCTACAAACTCCAAACCCAGACTTGCCACCTCGAGGGCACAGACAGGTCAGCCAACTGGTTCTACCTGTCACCTTGCCACCTAGGAGGCTTTGAAGTAGCTGGAAAAGAGTATTTTTCTAATGTATTGCGAAGAATAGCCAAATCTTCTTATTGAAGAAAGAAGAAAGGTGAAGCGTGCTTACCTGTACCTAGCATAGTACAATCAGAACCTCAGGGAGACCACGGGGCAGGCTCGTCAACGCTGGCCGCTCTTTCAACCATGATCTTTCCGTGGTAATCGCCAGGCGGAGGCAGGGCCAGTCCCCAGCTCCCTTTCCCCACCCCTTCTCTATTGCACACAGGACATCAGTCTTCGAGGAAAGGGACTTTTCTTCCAGTCTGCCAATCATATTGGGAAGTGCTAGCCATGCTTACCATCATGGGAATGTTTTCAGCTCATCTGAGAGCCCAACCTGTTTCTTGAGTCAGACCATCCGTGTAAATACCCCGTGTGCTTACGAATTAGTTGGTAGCTGTTTTCGTTTGTTGGATTAACTGGTTCGGGCTTTCCAGTTTGGAAAAGGAGCAGAGCTGTCCACCTGGAGTGATGGAAGAGAAGAGAATCTCTTCCCCATCTGAAGACCATCTAGAAAACCGTCAGCCAGCCTCCAACGCTATTAAGAGACCATCTTCCCCCTCCCCTGAGGTCTGTCCTCAGGATCTTTCTCGAAGGTCTCCACCTACAAAGCACAACACTAATGTATGTTCCCTTAGACCTCAGTTCAAGTGCCCCTATTTATTTCAGTAAGAACACACACAAGCCCCAGCTCGACTTAGCCATATCTGTTTCTTCTCTTACTCCTCGCGCTTTCCCACCCTCTGAAGAGTTACGCTAGCAAACCTTGCTCCACGCGTCCGTTTTGGTTTGTGAAGGCGGCGGTTAAGGGCACAAAGACAGCCATGGAGACATTTATGTAAATGCGTCTCTAGTCCCCACACTGCAGCTGAACAGTGTGTAGTATTTTCCCAGTCAGCTTCGCCATACTGACGTCAATCATTTGAGAGAAATTATTCAGATTTTATTTTTGTATCTGTGGTAACAAAACATTAACCAAAAGATTTTCTGTTCAGAAACTTCCCCAACGCCCCCCCAACCCATCAAGCTATTTGCTCACATTAACAAATTAAAGTGCCTGAAGCATAATAATTCATTCTTTACCTGTATACTAAAGCCCTGTTGTATTAATTTTTTTATAATAAGCCTTTTTACCTCTGTGTAAAAAATATATCAACAAGTGTATGATGTACATTTTAGTTCTTAACTTTTTTTTATGGTTTCTAATATGTATGACCAATGTAGCCATTGCTTTAAAATGTACCATGTAAATATAAACACGTCCTATCAGATCGCTGCCTGTGAGGTACTTGTCTGGCTGGAGGCTGGGGGCAGGGGTGCGGGACAGCTGGGTGTGAGCAAACCCGGGTTCTCGCACACAGGATGGGAAGAGGGTTCCTTTGGAGAAGGGCAAGCGGACATGGGTCTGGTTTTATGAGGCCTCTCCCGCCTGTGGTTATGTCATATCCCCCAGAGGACACTGCAGCTCCTTGGGCTTGGATGGCTCAAGTGAAAAGAATTCTGCGAGGCGCTGCCGGGAACACCCCCTCTTCCGAGGCCCGGCTCCCCCCACGCACGCTCCTCAGAGGGAACAGCTGTACTTCCTCTGAGTTGTTTTCTACCAATTCCTGCCGAATCTCAGGGGCCTGTGTGTGCGTGTGTGTGTGTGTGTGTGTGTGTGTATCTTGGAAGACAATTTCTCACGGAAAACAATGGCTAAGACTGTAAGACCCTTGGTGTCCTAGAGCAGCTCTCTTGGCCTTTGAATGCTCAAAAGCTGTAGTGATGACCCCCAGGAGGTGACATGTGAGGTCTTTTGAGGGTCACAGAAGAATCCAGCTCATCCTTTAGAGAACTGAGAGGGGTCCTTAAAAGGAAGTGTGTAAAGGGGTCTCTGTCTAGGTTAACATGTCTCAAAGGGGGTGCCTTTATAAAGCCACTGGCAGAGGTGAAGAGCAGGGAGAGACCCTGCAGTTAGGAAGTAAGAGAATGCAGCTCCTCCAGAACCCTCAGAACTTAGTGTGTGTATCTTGGAAGACAATTTCTCACGGAAAACAATGGCTAAGACTGTAAGACCCTTGGTGTCCTAGAGCAGCTCTCTTGGCCTTTGAATGCTCAAAAGCTGTAGTGATGACCCCCAGGAGGTGACATGTGAGGTCTTTTGAGGGTCACAGAAGAATCCAGCTCATCCTTTAGAGAACTGAGAGGGGTCCTTAAAAGGAAGTGTGTAAAGGGGTCTCTGTCTAGGTTAACATGTCTCAAAGGGGGTGCCTTTATAAAGCCACTGGCAGAGGTGAAGAGCAGGGAGAGACCCTGCAGTTAGGAAGTAAGAGAATGCAGCTCCTCCAGAACCCTCAGAACTTACTCACCCCCGATGAGGCCTCACTAGGCAGGTCTCTTGTCCCTCCTGTTTTTTGAGATTTTCGCTATAGGGCATGTGTGTTCACCCAAGAGATAGAGAGACAAAAATCAAGAAATCACCCTCCACGGGGGTTAGCTATGCCACAATCCCTTCTCCTTCATTCTCCTTGGGATTTTAGGCACATACGCACACGTGTCCAGCATGAGTTTCAAGCCACCGGGTCTGGAACTTGAACCACGTGGGAGTCCGGTGCCTCAACCACTACACCACCTGCTGGTCCCTTGTTTCCCATTTTACATTTGATGAACCAAAACTTCGAAGGGATGAGCACCTAAGATCCCCTACAGTCATGTGAGCAGGGCTGAGCCAGGCTGGCAGCTGCAGAGCCCAGGTCCTCACCAGGCCTCCCCGCAATGTCTGTGCTCCCCTCCCTCCCTGTTGGTAGCTTAGAAAGTGGGCACTGTGGCTCAGTAATGTGCTGCTCGAGAGAAGCCAGATCACACATGGCAAACCGTGGTTCAGATCACAGGATCGGCCTGAAACATGCCAGACACAAACAGATGCCCAAGATCCACTGTGCTGGAGGATGGGAGGAAGGGATCGTGGTGTGAGTAGACCCTGTGTCGGGTGCTTCTGTCTTATGCACATGGTCTGTCATGAATAAAGGGAAAAAATGAAAACAAACAAAAAAGACATCAGTCAAGAGCTGTGCCCCGTCTCTCCTGTCTTCTCAGGTGGCATCGGGAATAGCTCCTTGTCTTTGGTGCGCCATGCTAGGCCAGGAACTGGGCACACTCCCTACATCCTCTAGAGCCGTCTACAGGACATACAGTTCATTTCCTCTTTGCAGATGAGGAAGCCCATGTAGGGAGACTTCGCAACTCAGTCAAGGTCACTGGATGCCCTTTCTACCCCTTAGCTTGCAGTCAAGGGACTTCTTCCTGGGTGTCCTCGGGAATAACAGCACCTCCTCACTCAGTGGATGTTAATAGCATGCTATAGTTACAGGGGCATGCACAGAAATTGCTCCAAAATGCTAACTCCTTCCTCAGTGCTTCCTTTATTCTAGGGCCCCTCAAAAAAATCAGGAACTACAAAGCACAAGTCTTCAAAGAAACAGGAGGACAAAGCACATTCTGGGTATGCTATACTTAGGTAGACCTACAACCTATGGGTTAAGATTTCTTTTTCTTGGGGACCAGCAGATGGTGTGGTGGTTAAAGCACTGGACACTCCAGATGACCGACCACGGTTCAAGTCCTGGACCTGGTGGCTTGCTTTCTCACTCCACCCCCCTCTCTCTGATCAAATTAACATAAATAAATGAATGAATAAATAAAAATTTTAAATAATTCTAAAGAAAAATATATTCTTTTTCGTTGGGCCCAGCAGATGGCATGGTGGTTAATAGACTCCCACATAACTAACCACAGTTCAAGTCCCAGACATAATGGCTTACTTTCTCACTTTCCCTCTCTCTATGGTCAAATTTAAATATAGTAATAATAAGTAAAATTGAATAAAATAATTATGTTTAAAATATTTCTTTTTCTTAACCTCTGCGATTCTGAGTTGGTTTCAGTTCCTTACTGACCTTTCAGACATGTTAACAGCTCAGATGATGGCTGCAGAAGTGCCATGGGCTGGCTGGATTCCCGGGAGCTGACACATGCCACTTGGGAAACTTCGGTGGCCCAGTCGGAGCAGTTCTACCAAGATTACCGGTCCAGCCCAGTGGCCCTTGCCCAGATTGGAGCACACATGCCTCCTAAACCTCCTGCCCTGCTTCTGTGGCCTTCAGGGTCATCTGCAAGTCAAGCCTCTATCTCCTCCCTGCTGCTCCTCCCTGCTGGCCACCACCCTGTCCTCCAAGAGATGGACACCCCCAGAAAATCGAGACATTTCCCAGGGGAAAAACTATCGTTGGAACAGTTATATAGGGACTTAAGCAGTCTGTTATTTTATGGTGATATTCAAGTAGGCTGTCATGTGAATGGGGCCAAAGCTTGTGAAAGGGCCCACCACTCCAGGCCTTTGTGGCCTTCTGGTTTGTGGGTTAAGATGGTTAGAAATACCTCTCTAGTTGTTTGTTTAGGCCTGAGCCAGATGCATGGAGTGGAGGGAGAAGACCCTGGTGACAGTTTGCAGAACAGATATCAGTGGCAACTGTGCAAGCCAGGGCCTGTTTGTTCCTCAGCCACGACAGCCACCAGTGCAGGTGGTGCCCTGGAGGCACAGTGACTTTACGGGCATTGGGCATTGCATGCAGGGGCAGCAGACTCTATTTATGAAGGGGCAAAGGGGAGTTGTTATGTGATAGTCTTGCCTTTCTTCCTCTGTTTCTTACCTAACCTTTTTTTTTTTTCCCTGTAAAGTGCATGTGCTCCACTGAGAGAAACACAGAAGGAAAGTGAGAAATCACTCCCCCATGAGGGATGGACACTCTACAATCCCTCTCCTCCATTCTATTCTTGGGATTTCGGACATGCATGCACCTGTGTCTGACATGTTTTTCAAACCACCAGGTCCAGGATTTGAACTGCCATGTTGGCCATGTGGGACCCAACACCTTAACTACCACACAACCTCTCTTTTTTTTTTTCTTCAAAAATTATTGAGGGGAGAGTTTCTAACTATAGAAGTAACATACATAGTCATTAAAATGTCATACGATGAGGCCGACTCCATACCCTGGTGGTTAGGGTGCTAGATCCCACTATGGTCTAATCTTGGTCCCGGAAGCTTGAAAAATAAAGCAGGGGATATGTGTGTGTGTGTGTGTGTGTGTGTGTGTGTGTGCCCCAAACAGGAAGGAGAGATGGAGAAGAAGAGATTGCAGTGTGACCACATCCCATCAGGGGTTACTTTTTCTCTCTCCCTCTCTCCCTGGTGTGTGCACATGCCCTCTAGCAAAAAGAGTAGTCATACATGATATAAATATGAAAAGGAGAGCCTCCCTGTATTGGTTTTCTAGGGGTGCTATAATGACATCCCACTAACCGGAAGGCCTGCACACAGAAATTTGTTATTCTAGAGTTTGGAGACTGGAAAAGCCAGGAGTCAGCAAGGCTGTGGGGAAGGATCTGTTCCAGGCCTCTGTCCTTACCTCCTATATCCACTCACATCAGCTTCTCTCTGTATGTCCCTGTCGGTATTTCCCCATTTTATAAGGATACCAGTCACTTTGGGTTAGGCAACCTAATGGCTTCATTTCACTTTGATTACCTCTGTAAGGACTGTCTCTCCAGGACCAGTAGTTAGTGTAATGGCTATGTCGCTGAACTCCCATATAGCTGACCATGGTTTGAGTCCTAGATCCGGTGGCTTAAACTCACGCCAGGCACATGTGCATGCATGCCCAAGATCTCTCTCTTTCTCTGGTGAATGCATGCACCCTACAGCAAAAAACTGAGAAGAAAAAAAAAGTATAAAAGGCTCCTGAGGGCCAGACCCATAGCACCGGTGGGCATGTGTGCACACCTGCCCCAAATCCTGACAAGATGGAGAAATGAAGAAGGCATTGCAGCTTGACCACACCCCGTGGAGGGCGCTTCCTCCCTCTCTGTCTCTCTCTGCTGAGTACACGTGCCCTGTGGCAATAAAAAGTGTGGGAGGGAAGGACGAGAACAAAAAGTATGTGGCCTCTTCCTCTCTTTGGTTAACAGACTGTTTTGTGGTCAATGCTGCTTTTATTCTCTTCAAAATGCAGCTTTAACTTGCTCTTTCAGACAGCTCGCTTTGTCTCTTGTCTTATCTCAGACAGGTCTGTCCTTCTAGTCCCTTCTTAGGCCAGTTCCGGTGAGGCCCCTCTCTTCTTGCATCTTGCAGAAGACACTGAGCAGATTTATCTACAGTGGGCATCTATTTCATGTAGAAGAGCAGCTTCAGAGAGGTCTGCTACTTTGGATCTTGAGCAGCTTTCCTCCCCTT